TTTTCCCTTCATAACATTTTGAAAACAATACAAGGTGTGTGTTAGCAGTTATTGTATTTTTCGCACTATAAGTCACACTTTTTTCATGGTTTCCAGCGACTTATGTATTAAAATTTTCACGTATTATAATTTTCACACTGAAGCCGTGAGAGGTTCTGGTCTTGTGTGTCAGTATCTGCTGCTCCTGTTCCTCCTGTACCACTGTCACTTCACTCTACTGCGCATGTCTCCTGCAGAAAGAGCCTCTGTTCTGTCTGGTCATTCGATTGTACCACTGAAAATTAAAAATTAAACAAACTTATAAATACAAATGAGAAGACTGAACACAAATGCCCCCAAAAAGAAATTCATATTTTGCAGATGACAAATTGCAAGTAGAGAAATATTCAGCTGAAAATGGTAATCGAGCAGCAGAAAGAAAGTTTGGAGTGAGTGAGAAACTTGTGACACCGGGAGGATGCACCAGGCAACTTTCCTGGAAGTCACTGGATGGATCGACAAATCATGGACTTCAGTGACACCGAAACCATCCTGTCGGGATTCAGAAAGGCCGAAATAATTCTAATTGGAACTGATGCTGAGTCTGACGACAGCGACACAGAAGAGGAAGTGGCGCTCTGTTTACCTCCGGAGGTCATGGAGTTGCTCAGAAGTGACACCGAGGATGAAGAATTGAATGGATTTAGTGATTTGGAGTGAGATGGAGAGTTTGTTAAACTTATTGTGTTGTTTATCTGAAGAACTGTTCATATGTGTCGTTAACAGTCTGTTGTTCTCTGTTCTATTGTTTTTACTAGAACTTGACTTTCAAGATGAAATGTTGGTTCCTGGTCTCTGATTTTATAAAATTTATTTCCTCCCAAAAACGTGACTGAGAGTTCAGACTTATAATTCTGAAAAATACGGCACTACTCGACAGAAGTAAAATACCTGCTCTTTCAGGTTAGGATCGGCCTCTAGGAAATTAATTTAAGTCAATATAATGCCCCCAAGAAGAATGGAACCCCAACATATGTGTGTCTGTGCATGTATGTGTGTGTACGTGTGTGTGTGTGTGTGTGAGCAGATGAGACTCAAATCTGTACATACACACATATATCGGGGCCTAATGCCTTTATAGGGACAAAAATCATGTCCCCACGGCATAAATCCATCCATTTTCTTGCACTTATTCGGGGCTGAGTCACGGGAGCAGCAGTCTAAGCAGAGACTCCCAGGCTTCTTTCACCCCAGACACGTCCTCCAGCTCCTCTGGGGGGACCCCGAGGTGTTCCCAGGCCAGCCGAGAGACATGGTCCCTCCAGCGTGGTTAAAGCTTGAGCAACCTCTAAAACATCTCATTTTTCTTCCAAATTTCTTCCTAAATCATCTTTTGGATCCTAAAACCAAACGCAGGGTTCTAATCAAGGTTATCTGAAACTTTCTTTTTTACCTTACTTTGATGGACCACCCCAAATCTTGTATCAGGACACAAAAACTCTTGACTAGACGACATTTTGAGGACTTTTTCACCATTCAGATAGAATATTTTGTGGTCATACTTTATCATTCTGAACCCTTAACAGTCCAATAAGCATAACACGACTTCTTTAAACACAAGCATTATTTTATTTACGATGGAGCTCATATCTTTACCGCCCATTCCTAGTGTTGTCCTTTAATACCTGTCTGACGTGTAGCCCACAGCGCCCCCTCTGGTCAGTGTTGTGTTGGCGCTCTGTTTTTCCCCACGCTCTGTGACGGCTCAGACTCTGCACCGCTGCGTTCTCTCACTCTTTAATTAAAAGCTCGTCAGTGGAACAGTGCCCCCTCTGTGACTCGAGGGGTCCGGACCAGCGTGTGTGTGTGTGTATGATTGTGTGTGATTGTGTGTTTTATACATGTGTGTGTGTGTTGTGATTATCAGCTGCTGAAAGAGGCAAAAACAACGGGGAACGAGAATTATCTACTGAAGTTTACAAAAGAGGTTGGTTAAGGTTGGGCTGAATAACGATGGGTAAGGTTAGATGTTTACTGTTGGTGTCATGTACGTTTTCATGCTTGTGATGCTAAGTGTAGGCACTGCTCTGTCTGACGCTCTGTCTCTACATTTAGACTTTAATCTGAGCTTTGATTTATTACAATCTGACCATAAAAACTGACTAAAAAGGCGATTTTGCAGAATAGATTCGCTTAATTATTATTATTTTTTTCCCATGAATATTCTTCTCCTAATCTTAATCTGATTTTTATAGCATAATTTGGAC